GCGACGGCGGCCCCCTCTGCGCCCGAGGTGCCGAAGGGAAGAACCAACGCGGGGCCAAAGGCACCGTCCCCCGGCCACGTGGAAGCCGGTCGGAGACCCTCGACTGCCCGGCGCACACCCGGGGGTCCCTCGCTAGCGTGCCTGCCGCCCAGCCAGGTACTCGCTACCTGGCGCCCCCGTCCGCCTTTGTGCGGCGCTTCCCCGCGCGCTGGGGGCCTGGGACCGGGAGCCGCCCGCGCCCCCAGGACCCCGCACACCGGAGGGTGCCCCATCCCGGGGCCCCGCGCCCCCTGGACCCCGCAGCGCGGAGAGCGCCTCATCCCGGGGCCCCGCGCCCCCAGGAGCCCGCAGCGCGGAGGGCGCCCCCAGGACCCCGCAACCCCGAGAGCGCCCCTCCCGGGGCCCGCGCCCCCAGGACCCCGCAGCACGGAGGGCGCCCCTCCCGGGCCCCGCGCCCCACATCCCCGCGCGCGCTCCGACGGAGGCGAGCACCCGAGGTCCGCGGCGCCCCCCGCCGGCGCAGAGAAAGTTTCCCGGGGAGCCCCGGCGGGTGCGTGCCGCCCCCCGCCCCCCCGGCCGCGCGCCCCGGGTGGGCGCCCCGACTCACCATGGTGCCTGATCGCGCCGCAGGGGCGCCTGCCGGGGAGCCGGGCCCGCGCCGCCGTCGCCGGGACCCAGTCGCAAAGTTGCTCGGCGTCGCCCGCGCGGGCGCCCGACACCCAAGCGCTCAGCGCAGCCAATGGGCACCCAGGGGCGCCCCGGGCAGGGGGGCGGGGCGCGCGCAGCGGGCACGGGCGCGGCGCGCTCGCGGGGCAGGGGCTGGACGCGGCGCGCTCGCGGGGCAGGGGCAGGACGCGGCGCGCTCGCGGGGCAGGGGCTGGGCGCGGCGCGCTCGCGGGCACGGACGCCGCCGGGACTCGCGCCCCGACCCGGACTCGGAGCCGGCGGGGCCGGGCAGCCTGTCCATAAATGGAGAAGTCGCCGCGGGCCCGGCCAATCAGCCGCGGGCCCGGCCGCGTCACTCCCCGGGGAACCCGCCGCAGCCAACGGGCGCCCGCCGCCCTCTGTCCGCGGGCCTCTGGGTCCTGTAGTCCCGCGCGCCCGCGCCCGCCCCGCGCCCAGGGCCAGGGTCCCCAGCCTCGCCCCCAGCGCCCCGCTCCGTCCCACCGCCTGACGGAGGAAGTTCCCGACCTAGAGAGTAGTTTTTCCATATTGGCATGGCCCCGGTGTGTCTACCGTTTTTCTCTTTCTTTCACTTCTTTTTTATAAAGAAGGAAATATTTTATCAGCATGAAAGATCAGAGTTGTGGCCGCTGCCCAAAGGAAATCCTTTTTCTTTCCGACGTCTGGATTGTGAGGAAAGGCAAAAAATATCACTTACCCCGCCCCCTCCTTTTACCTGAATTTCCTTAGGAAACAAAGCAGGCTAGTTGGAGGAAGGGGATGGGGTTTGGGTGAGGGAGAAGGCGCACTTGCTGCGTGCAGAGCCCGCCGCAGGGGGAGAAAGTAGAAAGAAGAGCACCACCCCCCTCGAGCAATGCTTATCTGGGACATTAAACGCAGTAAACTGCTTCATTCCCGCCGGACAGAGAGGTGGCACGCGGGCTTAGGCCCTTGCCTCACACAGACAATCTGGCTTTGATCGCTGGCAAGGCTCTGGAGCCGCGCCAGGAGCAATCCCTGAGCTCAGAGCCAGGATAAGTCCTGAGCACTGCTGAGTGTGGCTCCCAAACCAAACAAAAACCAGGACTGTCCTCCCAGGGTCTGTGGTGGGATTTTAAAGTCTCCAGAGTATTGAAAACCAAAAAAAAGAAAGAAAAAAAAACACCATAAAGCTTAGTGATGTATTATGAGGGTCCTTTCCTGTACACACAATCCCAGAAAAAATATTAAGAAAAAACTATCTTGTCTAGGGGCTGTGGAGTTAGTACAGAAAGGTAAGGCACTTGTTGTGTGCAGCCAAGCAGGGTTCAACCCTCCACATTCCATATGGTTCTGAGTCAGGCTAGGAGTGATCCCTGAGCATGGAGCCAGCAGTAAGCCAGGAGCACCACAGTAAGGCCTGTTACCCCACCTCCACCACTGAACCATCTTGTCTAGAATGGCTACTAACCAAGACCAGTGAAGTTGGGCCAGAGTGATAGTACAATGGGGAGGGCACTTGCCTCACATGCGCACAACCTAGGTTCAATCCCTGGCATCACATATGGTCCCCAAAGTATCACCGGGAGTAATTCCTGAGCACATAGCCAAGAATAACCCCTGAGATCACTAAATCAATGATGGTTGAAGGAACCGCTCAGATTGGCAGATGTGTGCTTAAAGTAGATAAAAGACCAAACATGATGGCCTTTTTGTATCTATATTGCAAAGCATAATGCCCCCAAAATTGTCTACCATAGAGCAGGGGCAGGGTTAGGAAGTGGGGGTGGGGTGGGGGGAGTTTCTGGGGACATTGGTGGTGGAAAATGTGCACTGGTGGAGGGATGGGTGTTCAATCATTGTATGACTGAAACTCAAACATGAAAGGTTTGTAACTATATCTCACGATTATTCAATTTAAAAAAATCACATTTATATACATAAAAGAGTAAGCCCTGAGCATCACCAGGTATGGCACCCAGAGAAACACAGAGAGAGAGAGAGAGAGAGAGAGAGAGAGAGAGAAAGAGAGAGAAGGAATGATATTTTCCTGTCATTAAAGAAGGAACCTCTGAGATCAGGGCATAACACAGAAGGTAGGGCACTTGCCTTACTTGCAACCAACTTGAATTAGATCACAGCCACCCCAATATGGTCTCCCAAGTCTTCCAGGAATGATCCCTGAGTGCGGCCAAGAGTTAAGATTGAGCACAACCAGGTGTGACTCCCCCTTCCCCCCCAAAAAAAAGTAGTGTCGTCATGTTACAGCATAAAAGAACCTGGATGATATTGTAAAGTGAGAGAAACCAAGCCTGGAGATGGCACATCTGGTTCTTTTTGATGGAAGAGAGCGAGGATGTCAGAGATAGAGAGTGGGTTTGGGAGCGGGGCATTAGGGACATTCCATGGGTAGACAGTTTTCATGCTGGGCACTGAAAATATTCTGGAAGTAGGCAGTGTGAGGTTTGTCAGTCTGTGTGAGTCTTCTAAAAACCGCTGAACCACACAATTAAAATGCACCTTTTGGGATCTTGTTTGCATGTTTAGGGGCCACACTCAGTAATGCTTGGGGCTACTTAGGACTCATTTTCAGAGGTTGCTCCAGGCTGTGGATATTGGGGCCTGCGTGAGGTCAGCAATTGAACCCAGGCTCCTGTCTGTCCAGGATGCATGTTACCTTTCTGAGCTAGCTCCCAGGTTCTTCAAAGGATGTTTTAAGGGATTTCCTGCTGGTTGCTCTACCATCCCAGATGAGGCTTGCCTCTGGCTGACAACACTGGGCCTATTCCAAGACAGGAGACTACCTACAAGGTGGGGTTCCCAGCAGCCTCCACATCTGAACTGCACCATACTAAGGACCCACACCACAGTTCCTCAAGCATGGTTACATATGCAGCCATGCAACATATACGCAACAAGTGTCATACTGCTCACAGTTATGCTTTCAGTCATTCTGGTGGATGGGCAGAAAAGAAAGTAAGCAACCTTCATCCTAATCCCTCAGCATCTTCCGGGGAGGTTATCTACAAAGACCCACCCCCAGTACAACAAGAGCATTAGAAAACCAACAGGGAAAACACATAGAAGCCCACCAAGTTCAATGAGCAAAAACAGCATTACTGAAGATATAAACAAAAGGTACCAGCTCAGTAATCCTCAATGTCTTTTTTTTTTACTTAACACTGATGTTTTATTTTTGCATCATTTGTACAAAACAGAAAAACCGTCATATTATCAAAACCGGTGGGAGAGTTGGACTACCTCGCGCCTTGCCACAGACGTCGGGGAACGAGGAATCTGATAGCATTTGAACACGGGATGGGTTCCCCATGGGGCCCAAGGCATATCTTGGCATGATCCTTGGCATGTCTTGGGTGCCTTGCCGGGGACTTCGGTAAAGCACTGGCCGTTTTTTTCCTTTTTTTTTTTTCTGAAGAACCCATGTGATTTGTACAACAGAGTAGAAACACTGAGTATTATTATTTTTTTTGCAATACTTCATGTTTTGGTATTTAAAAAAAATACTGCTTGTCTGTTTGGATCAGAACCCAAATGTTGGGATCACAATTTACCCTGTAGAACGCGGAGGGCCTGGATATGGCGTAGTGACGTTAACCAGTTTCCCGGAGAGCCTGGCCGGAGTGTGAGTTGGGTTCAAAGTTCTCTTTCCTTCCTGGTCTGAAACCGTTTGCCCAAAGAGGGCACTAAGACAGGGGCAAAAGTGATTTCCTCCCCAGACTTGCATGTTTTATAGACAGTGTGGATGGGGCCAGGCCTGGAGCCCTGTGGAAGGCACGGCCACTTGGGTCCCTGAGAGGCTCTGACCGGCCAGGCCCACGGCCACAGTTCTCTCTCCAGTTCGTGTCCTTACATCTCTGGGCCATCTCTGGGGTCCCAAACGGGTCTCGCATCTTGATCGCTTTGGTCCGGGTTCAAAACCCCCTGTCCCTACACCCACGTGAGGCCGGACCCCTCCCAAAGAACCAACCCATCGGAGTTTTAAACACCCCCCTCCCCCCACCCCTGCAAAGCAGAGGGACCTGGTAATTCTAAAAAGAGCACCATCACTGAAGGTGGAGACCCCGTTTCCTGCTGGAAGGGCATGTCCTCCCAGGGCAGGGTGGGATGGGGATTCCCATTAAATTTTTTTTTTCAATCAAAGGAAAATAGATTATTATGTGCTTTTTTTTTTTCTTTACAGACATGATAAGGGAAGTGAGAAGGCTAAGCTGAGCGTAGAGGCTCCCCGGGGCAGCCGTGGCATTCAGTGCTCCTGGTTTCTAGAGCAGTGACACTGACCCCGGCAGCCGTCTGGGGCCCGAGTGGCGTGTGTGTGTGTTGCGGCGGGGGGGTCGTGATCACACCGTTTTCCTGGTGGTGAGGACCCGCAGGATGGAGCCCACGCCCCCCGTGGCCAGCGCCTTCTTGTGCCACTGCAGCAGGACGCCACTGCAGTTGTCGGACGGGCTCTCGAAGTACTTGTAGATGTACTTCATCAGCAGGTCCACGCTGCTCCTGTCCAGCAACTGCACTACCTTCTCGATGTCAGTGACTTTGAAGGACACCAGCACCTTCAAGACGATGTTGCCCGCCTGGTCCTTGGCCGCCTGGCTTTTGGCGTTGATGGGCAGGTTCTTCAGAGCTGCCTGCAGGGCCACCGTCATGTTTCCTTGCAGCAGGCATGAGTCCATCTCGCCCTCGTCGGGTCCCGCCTGCCCGTCACCACCGTCCTCCTCGTCCACGAAGTTGTTCTTGTCGTACTCATCCACGTCCACCTTGCAGAAACGCGCCAACGGCACGGTGTGCTTGGCCATCGCAAACCCCTGCGCACTACCCGCGACCCCCACAGCCCCCTGCCGCCACTTCCTGCTTCCACTCTTTGCAGCGTCTCCTGGGCTGCCACCAGTAATCCTCAATCTCTTTAGTGACACCATGATGAGGATGATCAATGAGCTCAAAGAAACAATAGCATAGGTAGTTGGCAAAGCACAAGAAAATGTGAGAGTTGAAATCAGAAAGCTACAATCAGAAGTGACAGAAATGAGGAGCGTGGTAGGTGTCTCAAAGACTCAATAGAAGTTCCACGGCAGAATAACAGGAACTGAGCAAAATGATCAATGAGCTCCAAGATGAGGAGTAAACTTCCAAAGAACAGCAAAAATGGGAAATAGTCTGAAAAGAAACTAACAGCATACCAGAGAATTACGCAATGAGTTCAAAAGAACAATGTAAGAATCATCAGAGTCCCTGAAGAACAGGAAGGCAAATATGGTGAAGAAACAGTAGTTAAAGAAATTATTAGTAAGAATTTTCCAGAGTTGAGTATTAAGTTGAGTATTACAGGCACTGAGATCCAAGAGACCCAAAGAGTCCCAGGGTAAATAGATGCATAATAATAATAGCAAAACTCCAAGACACACTGTACTTTAAATGACAAAATCCAACGATAGAGACAAAATAGTAAAAGCAGCAAGACTAAAAAAGGAACTTAAAAATGAAGGAAAGCCCATAAGATGTAGCAGACCTGTCAAATGAAGCTCTGTGAGTCAGAAGAGTAAGGAAGAATTTAGTACAAAAACTCAATGAAATGACTACTTCGCCAAGAATGCTCTGTTCAGTTAGATTATCATTCAGATTTGAAAGAATGGGAATGATGCAGAGCTTCATGGACAGGCTTAGTGAATTCAACCCCTGAAACTAGTTTTGGAAGAAGTGGTGTGGGTGGGACAGAGGAAAAAGAGAGGGGTGGAGGGAGAAAAAGAGGAAGAGAGGAAAGAGAGAGAGAGAGAGAGAGAGAGAGAGAGAGAGAGAGATTTACATAGAGGTGAGCTGTGTGTGGATGGACGGGAGAAAAACTGGGAACACTGGTGCTGGTGTTGGGAAATATACACTGGTGAAGGGATGATGTTGGAATGTTATATAACTGAAACCAATTATGAACAATTTTGTAATTGTTTATCTCATGAAGATTCAATTGTAGCACTGCACTGTCCACCCATCGTGGATTTGCTCAACATCTTCATTGTGAGATTTGTTACTGTGTTTGGTATATCAAATACATCACGGGTAGCTTGCCAGGCTTTGCCATGGGGGCTAGATACTCTCGGTAGTTTGCTGGGCTCTCCAAGAGGGGCGGGGGATTCGAACCTGGCTCGGCAGGGCCAGACTGCGCACAAGGCAAATGCCCCACCACTGTGCTATCACTCCAACCCGAAGATTCAATTAAATTTTTTAATTAAAAAAAAAAGAGTTTCTCTAAAGGACAGGATGAACTTCCCAATATGTGTCATTGAGTATGGCACTCACTCATGATGAATGTGGTTGTCTTCTACTGGATTAAGAAAAGTTAAACAAATAGTAATTAATCATCACAAATTGGCTCTTTTTTAATTTATTTTCTGATAGTTTTGTTTGCCATTCCTTTAAGTTTTTTTACAGCAAGTAATATATATATATATATATATATATATATATATATATATACACACACACTCGCCTAGGGGGCAGACTGTGGGGTGGGAGGGACCCTGGGGACATTGATGATGGAAAGGGGACATTGATCATTGATAGTGGTAGTAGTGTTGGAGCATTATATGCCTGAAACAACTCTATTATGAACAACTTTGTAAATCAGTGTCTCAAGAAAACTTGAAAGAAAGAATGTGAGACTAACACCCAAGAATAGTAAAGATAAGTACCAGGAGGTTTACTCCAAGGCTTGGAAGCCGATCTCAAATGCTGCGGGGAAATGCATTTCAGATAGAACAGGGAACACCAAGTAAAGGGTGCTTGGAGGACTCACTCGGGTTGGGAGATTTGTGCCAAAGGGTAGACTATAGATCAAACACAATGGCCACTCAATGCCTCTCTTGCAAACTACAACACCAAAAAGGAAAGAAAGAACAAAAGGGAATGTCCTGCCGCAGAGGCAGAGTGGAGAGGGGGTGATGGGGTGGGGGTGGTGGGAGGGATAATGGGATCATTGGTAGCGGAAAATGGGCTCTAGTGGAGGGAGGGGTACTCGATCATTTCATGACTGAAATGCAAGCTCGAAAGTTTGTAAGTATGTAACTACCTCACTGTGATTTACTAATTAAAAAAAAAGAAAACTTAAAGAAAGAAAGAGAGAGAGAGAGAGAGAGAGAGAGAGAGAGAGAGACCTCTTCAATACAGTTTCATGCTTAAGGGGGGAAATTATGTTTTATGGAGGCAGGAGCGTAGTGTAGAGGCTGGGGTGCATGCCTTCCACACAGCTGTCCCTGCTTCTATACCTAACACCTCCAGGAGTGATCTCTGAGCACAAAGCTGCAACAGCCCCTGAGCATAGTTTGGGTAGACCGAAATAAAGGCAAACAAATCTCCTTGAGAACCTATGTTTTATGGTTTATCAGTTATACCTTCAAATTTTTAGTGAAAGAAATTCAGGTCTGAATGTTCGCAGTAATCATCATTTTACCCAGTAGACAGTTCATAACATAGAATGCCTGGCAATATCAGAGAGCACAGGAGGCCTGTCCCACCAGTTTAGATACATTTATTTGTTTATTTATTTATTTATCTATATGGGTTTGGGGTCACACTCAGCAGTGCTCAGGGCTCAAGTTTGGCAGGGTTTGGGAAACCATATGGGATGCTTGGGATCAAACCTAGGTTAGTCACTTGGAATGCAAACACCCTACCCTCTGTACTATTGCTCCAGGTCCTCCAGTTTATAATTTTAAAGGGGATGTATCAGAAGAGAAATTAAAGTAAGTCTTGTATCACTTGTCATTTGTTGCTCATTGATTTGCTCAAGCGGACACCAGTAATATCTCCATTCATCCCTGTGTCAAGTGCTAATGTAGCCCAATGACGTCTGCTCGCTCCAGGAACATGAAGAGCCTCAAACCGATTGTTCAGGATCTTGACGAAGAAGTCCAACCATCTAGTAGGTGAGCAGCCAGGCATTCTTTTGACATCTCATGGAATCCAGTCAGTAACTGCTCTAGTCCAGCGGTTGTCTCCAAATCACATTACAAGTCCAGCCCTTCTGATTTTTGACACCTTGGCAAACAAGGCAGCATCCCTGATCCCCGATCATGTCGATGGAGGTCAGAACTCCAAATTCCTTCTCTCACTTAAGTGAAATGTGATACTCCAACAATAGCTCTTTCTATTCCTCTTTGGGAGACCCGAATTGCGTTTTCATAGGACCCAGGTCTCTGAGGTATATGTTAGTGCAGGAAGAAGAGCCGAAAAGATGTGCCCAGAGCTGGAGGTTCTTCATCCTCTTAACAACTTCTTTGATGCTCTTGAAGGAGTTCCATGCCACTCTCTTATTCCTATGCAGTTCTGGTGCCAAGTTGTTCGTCATGTTGAGTTCTCAATCCAGGTACACATAACTGCTGCATTCGGAGATGTTTGTGCTATTGAGAGCAAATGGAACATCAGGAACTAGTTTGTTTCTCATGAACATTGTCTTTGTGAGATTCAGCTGCAGTCCAACCTTTCCACACTCATGGTCGAAGTTGGCCAGCATTCGTGCAGCTTGCCTAATGTTTGGTGTTACTTGAACGATGTCATCAGCAAAGCAGATCTGGTGTAGATGCCGACTGTCTATCTTCACTCCCATTCCTTCCCATTCCAGTTGTCACATGACATTCTTGAGGGTGCCACTGAAGAGTTTCGGTGAAATAGTATCACTCTGCTGAACCCCTCTCTTTACGTTGATGATCACTTCCTTGTAGAATGATGAGATCGTGGTGGTGAATCTGTAATACAGCTTGCAGAGGATCCTGATGTACAGAGTTTGAACGCCCTGTTTGGCTAGGGCTTTGATGACTGCTTCAGTCTCAACAGAATCAAAGGCCTTCTTTAAATCGATGAACATTAGACAGAGCAGCATCTTGAATTCTCTCGAAACCTCAATGAGCTTGGTCACCATGTGGATATGGTCAATCGTGCTGAATTCTTTTCGGAACCTGGCTTGCTCACATGGTTGACCTTCATCTAGTGTTCTGCCAATCCTATTCAGGATGACTCGAGTGAACAACTTATAGACAATGGATAACAGGCAGATTGGGCAACAGTTGCCAATGTCGTGGATGTCTTCCTTCTTGTACAACAAACGGTCCTGCTAGTTTTTCATCAGGACAGAACCTTGCATTCAGACAGATAGTGTATTGACAAGACTGGTGGCAGATTCTTCAGGTGTTCGGGTCTGACCTTGTCTGAACCAGGTGCTGTATGCTTCTTTACCAATGAAATGGCTTGTCAGATTTCAGAAGGGAGAACGCTGGGAATGACATATCCATCCTGCGTAATTTGATATGTGGGCAGGTGGACATGATTATTGAAGAGATCCGAGTAGAAGTCGTGGATCCGAGTAGAAGTTGTTCTCCATTGCCCTTCTGGAAGATGTGATAGATCCATCAGACGTTGGAAGGCAGTCATCTTGGTCTTATAGTTGGTGAAGGACAGGTGGGCATTTGTGAATACTTTTCCTGGCTTCTGCCATATCGGCCAACACTGCTGCTCTTCTCTCTTTAAGGTCTTCCTTAATTGCTTCTCTGCACTGCTTTTGGAGCTCCGAAGTTAGCTTGTGATTGCCTGAGGCTCGGGTTAAACCGCATCTGCGAATGAGCTCAAGAGTTTCTGAAGACAGGCGTCTTTTTGTGGCTTTCTCACTCGGCATTCTTCACACAGTCATGGAGGTGCTGAACTAGTTGATGTTGTCAACGATGGCATCTTCCCACATTGCCGCAATAGTGCCAAAGAGATCCCAGTTGGTGGTCGTTCTGGGAGTTCTCTTCTTAAACTTTGCAGCCCTTTCTCCCTGCTACATGAAGTAGAACTTTGC